GAAAGTTCTTGATTGGTTGAAAACAATGTGTCATGCGTTTCCATGGTAATGCATATCAGTGTGTCTGGTGCAGCCCTGTTTATTCATTTAAACACATAACTCATGACATCTTTATTTCACAGATCATTCACCTGATTATTAATGATCAACAAATGCTTTGATTAGCTTATCACAAATAAAGTACTTTGATTAATCAATGAAAAGCGTTCTTCTTCTGTTCTTCTGTCTCTTCTCCTGGAATGTAAACATACTGAACCAAGCGTCCGACCTTGGCGGTGTTACTGTGTGAAGGGGCAGCTGTTAAGGGCAGACCATTATAAACTTCCTAACGCTACAGTGGATAACCGTGGCTGCAGTGTAGGTGCGGTGACCCTTACCAGCCACCGTATCATCTGCTGAAGTTGCCGGTGGCACATGCGCACCAAAACTTTCTTGAAGCTAAAGCTGAAATAATGGCCAAAGGAGGAGATGGCAGCGCACAGGACATTTATTATCCCTCCAAGAAGACAAAGTGGGAAGTATGGGCAATTTTTGGATATTTGAAGAATGCCGAGGGACAGTTGATAGAAGACGGCTATCCTGTTTGCAGCATGTGTAGGAAAAAGTGTCTGTGAAAGGCAGCAACGCTTCAAATCTCATGACACATCTGCGTGACCATCACCCACAACTCTACAGTCAACGCAAGGCAAGCTAACGTTAGCGTTTTAGCTAAAATGTGTGATCCGAGGATTTGGGTTGAGGAAGAATGCAACGAGTCGCTATATAAAGCAGCCGCAGCGCCGCTACCTGCATATAAACCGTGTCACGGACACTGCCATGTTGAAATGACGCTATGCATTACGGGGCTCCCAGGGGCAGATAAGAGTTGGTCTCTCTCCGAGAATAATTATGAATTTAACAATGATTACTGCCTGATGACATTTTCCTAAATCTGCAAAGCTCACTGGAAGGACACAAACCGAGGACAATATTTTCCTGATATAGGGTTTATTACTCAAGTAAGGGTAATAAAGTATCTGATTAGAAGGCTACTTGAGTACTGAGTATCATCTGATCTAATATTTTTTAAATGATGACATCAAACAGAAAAAAAGGAAGTTATGGGCAAATATTGGTATTTTAAAGACTAAAGGGGAAAAATGTAAACGAATAAAAGACATAATTACAAAATATCAAATTTTAGGCAACATTTAGACACAAACTGAGGACAATATTTTCCCGATATACAGGGTTTATTTAGTTGTCTGAAAATGTAACACGTTTAAAAAAATACAGCGATAATACCGAAAACCGTGATAATTTTGGTCACAATAACCGTGAGGTTAAATTTTCACACCGTGACAACCCTAAATCTGAGTGAAAAATACTTTAAAGGAGACGTTTACTCATTACTTCATTAAAGCAACTGTGGTCTCCATTAAAAATTAATGTCTTGTGAGTTGTTTTCTGTGGAGGAAAAAAAGCTCTGGTGCTGCTGTTCCAGGAAGTTAAAGTTAGCCAGAGGAGAGGGGGCAGAAAATAGCAGGATTATTAGTCTTACTCATTAATATTCATGACATGCAAACATCTCGCCTAACAGCAACGCAGCTCTTCTGCCGTTGTCTGCCCTTGTGAAAAAAACAACAACACTGATGTTTAATCTCTACATATGCCACAAGCCTGAACATGCTCTGTTACATTGTGGAGTTGCTATGCTAACAGTTAGCTTCTACTAGCAGAAACCCACCCTCTCCTGGACGCTAAATCAGCACAGACCACAAGATGGGTGAGTCCAGTGTGATGCAGACTTGTGTGTTCCTGGTTTTCTGACCCGAGCATTTTCCTGTCCATTTTCTATCTGTAGCTAATGCAGGAAATCGGGGTAGAAGACAGTTTTCATGTTCAGCGTGCATGTGGAGCTCAGAGTGGCCCATCGTATTTCAAAATGAATCTCCACTTTAAAATATGCCTTTTCTACTTTTTAGCTAAGTCCTTTCTCTGACGCAGTCTGATTCTGGGACTTGCAGCTTTAGATTTTTCAACCGGTTATATGATTTAAATCAGTTATGCAACATTTAAATACTAAAGAGAGGCAGAACATCAGAGCCGGGGTCACAGACGGTTTCATGGGATTAAAATCATAATCAGAGCTGTTGCATCATACAATATTCAGTCAGTCAAACAACACACTTTAGGAGAAAATAAGGACAAAACCAAAAGCAATATGCATATTTATACAAGAAGTGTGTGATCAAACTGTCTGTATAACACGACAAAAAGTACGTATCCGGATGGGGGCAAATCATTATTTCCATAGAAAGAAGCTCTCCCTTCATGGTAGAGAAGCTTCTAGAGAACAAAGCCCACAGATTGCTCCGACTGTAAATGGAGCATGTACTCTGAATAGGACATAAATCATGTTACTGCTCATTTACTCTCAGCTGAATGCTGCTTTATGACTGGCTAACAGGGAGACAGGGTGGGGTCGGATGGTGATAGGTCTGTAAAGATCTCTGACTGCAGCCACTCGCTCTGCAGGGGCTGCCCTGCACATGAATCGCTCACTTAAAACACGCACAATAAAATCTGAGTACATGGGACAAAACACAGCCCCATTACCCAAACATATGCTCTCCCTTTGCAGCTTGGTTGTCCTGCAGTGGACAGATGACCAACTGTCCTTGTGTTCCGGTTTCTAGACTCTGTGGGAGGCCATCAACATTCACAAATACACACATGTACTGAACATATGCATTTCAGAAGAAATCCTATGAGTTTTTGACAGCAAGGAGGCCATTAAAGGTACCAGAGCCCTTTGTAGCTCAGACAGCATGTTTCACAGCATGAAAGACTCAGTTCAGCTGAAGGATAAAAGGATCAGTGCATCCCAGAATGCTGCAAAACCCACAGAGAGGCAGAGCACACCTCTTCAGACTAATCTGTTTACATCTTTCCAATGACTCCTTCCTTTTGTGTGTCAAATCAGCTATTTAGAATGATTTAAAGCACAGTGAATTCACCGTGCATGGGCTGCCGATGACTGGACATAAAAGGAAGACGTGTGCTGGGATGGTGTCGGACCAGAGCCAGCTGGTGGTAGGACACAGCATTCCCCATTTGCCCAGGGATGCGGCGGTGTAGCACACAGCTCGAGTCTATATGTGAGAAAAGTCATTTTATATCGAATGTGGATCAGAGTTTTAGATCAGGGCAACACAGTATGCTCTCATAAAACAACAGTTTTTACTCAATTTTAGCCCAGAATGTGTTTTGTTGGATTTTGGATTTGCTTCAACTTCATTTACAAACTTTTCTGTCACCATGGTCCAAGGCTTTTTTGGACTTATTTTTGGGCTTTATTAGAATCAGGAACTGATAATGTATTAAGTCCTTTATTTAGAAAAAGGATGTATTTTCACCTTCTTCAATAGCGAACTGCCTCGTTCAGCCACTCCTGTAGACAGTAATGAAGGCTGGGAGACTATTCAGATGTTAGATTAAGGTTTTAGATTAGGATGTTGAAAAGGCAAACGCACAGCAAGTAGATAGGTTTTGCTTTGGGTTCTACAAATGAACACTAGGGGGTGCTAAAAGCAAGCCTAAACTGCCTTGTCTCCATTAATGCAACATTTCAAGCAGCATGACTAAGAAAAAAAACAAATTCAGTTAAACGTTCTATTGATACTCATATTTCAGCATTATATGAATACTTTTATCTAACATTTGCACTATGTTTTTTCTAAGATTAAAAGGAGCTTGAGTTGTGATTTAATGATGTTGAAACTCAGTCACACACTTTATATGTCTGACTCTTAGAAACAGAATAGGTAAACTGATTTTACAGGCTTTTCTGGTAATAAACTGAATATAAACGGGTTTACCGTGTTGTTCAGATAAAATAATCCCTTTTGAAACTCATCACAGACTTAGGACAGTTTTAATGCATTAACATGGATGTTCTTTGGTGGGAGGCACTGAAAATAAACCAGATAATGATTTAAGTTCTAGTCTAACCATCTACTTACATAATGGTGAGTTTGATTCATCCCCATGTTGTTTCAGTCTTATCTCCATTTCACCCCCACCCACCCACAGGAGGTAATTATGTTCCACTGTAATATGAACACGGCAGCCTATCGACCCCCGAGTCATTATCCCAGTGCCTCCTCAGAGCTCCTCTGCGAGCAGCATCAGCTCTTTCGTTCCCGTCCGGACTCGACCTCCTTCTATCCTGGCTCATAGAAAAGCAGGAGACCATTAACATATGGACCAAATAGATGAAAAGGGCCTGTGTGTGTGTGTGTGTGTGTGTGTGTAAGCGTGCGCGAGCATCTGGCAAACGGTTGTTTTCCGCTTGGTCCTAGAGCTCAACCAGTGTCAATTTAATAAAGCGTAATATTGTTTTTGGACGGTAAAAAGTGCAGGGGTCAACACTTTGGAAAATGTGCTGGTTAGGAATAATGCAACGCAGAGAAAATATTAGATATTTTCTGCTATATCAACAAAAGTATGTCACTGCAAATTTTCTTGAAATATCACAACATGGATTTGAGGCTGCATGGCCCATGAGTTTTCTAAGATGTTATGTAAAATACTAATTTTGTTGTTTTAGTCAGATTGAAACTCAGTTTATATAAGATTTGTGTTCTAAAAAAATAATGAATTTAGTCTTGATAATTTGGCCAAAGCTCCTTGCATCTGGTAACTTTATTTTCCAGATTTGGATTTGATCTTCAAAAGTCTCCTTTGTCATTGCTGAAAGTCAAGTGCCCAGAGTCTAAACGGCTGAAATAGTTAAGTGCATGTAAGTGATTTATTCTAGATGATGTTATTACTGGAAACAGGTTGAATTTCTGTGGATGATCGATCAGCAGCTACAGGGCAGAGATGGATCCTGTTACGCACGGAGCCACACGGATTGGAATTGTGAGAGGGTTCATCATCAGGTGACCTTTGAGCCATTCGGAGGCAGAAATGAACACGGTGATGATGACGATGATGATGAAGAGGCGTGTACTTACTCAAAGGCGAAGAAGAGCGAGCAGGTTCCTACGATGAGGAACATGGTCAGGTAGAAGACCCCCTTCTGCCGGGCCATCATCACCCGTCCATCGCAGCAGAAAGTGTTCTTCCCCGGGAGCTTCTCCCATTTTCGCACCTTCCTCGTTATCATCACCGCCGACATGCTGCCCTGGTTTCAGATCCTCGCTGCTTTGGGCTGATGCTTTCAAAACCACTATAAGAATCTGTCAAACTTCAGTCATGTTCCGTGGCTTCTCACAAAGAAGCAGCCGGGACGCATTTAAGTGTTTTTGGAAAATAAAAGCGTCGCAGTCGCATCGTTTTTCTTGTCTAATCCATTATTTGCCGTATTTACTGCAGCGCGCGAGCCTCCTCTTCCTCTCCTCAAACAGACAGTCTTTAATCTCTCTGGTCAGAGACGCAAACGATTAGAAGATCCACCCGAAACGATTGCGACAGATGTTTCCCCGCAGAAGCAGGAAAATCCACCCGTGGGTTGTTGCATAGACTCTCAGCAGCAGCTCGGACCTTGACCGCCTGACATTCATATCATCTTGGATTAATCAGAAATAAATGAGCGAGCTGCTGCGCGCAGATTACACGCTAGTCAGACAGCTGGAAGCTGAAGAAATAAAAACATCTAAATAAAAGAGGAATATTGGCCCAGCTGTAGGACGGGAATGTGATCTCATGCGCGTTTTCTTCCGCAGGATCCCAGCTCTGGCTTTGAGTCAAATGGCAGCAGGAAACACGCCTAGATAGAGATGTCTAATCTTAAAGGCGCAGCACAGGTGGAACAGGAACAAAGGACGACTCAGCTCACATTAGGATTAAAAATCCTCCCTCCAAAGAAGAGCTAGGGAATAATAATAAAAAATAATAAGATAACCCCTAAATACGTTCAATAGACACTATTATTATTATTATTATTAGTATTATTATTATTATTATTATTATTATTATTATTATTATTGATATGAGGGTCGATTTAAGCTCCTCCTAACAATAAAAATGGGGTGAGGAGTTTGAAGTCATTTTCCCACCATATTTATCTAACGGTAACCCTAAGAAATGGTAATTCCATGCATGAATGTTACAAAAATAACAGCAAAGAATTAAATTAAAAATTATTTGGAATAAAATCTAAACATAAAGTTACACATAAATGAGTTTAAATTTAAGATAAGACAAGGGATCTCTTCACCTCAGTTTTATTTTGGTAGGCTACTTTATTATTCTATATTGTACAGCTGTTTGGGTTTGGCCTGTTGAGCTTCACTGAGTTTTTAATCTTTAGATTTGACTTTACACTCCTTTAAACAATACAAATATTTAGCTATAACATTTATTTGTGTAGCATGGTTAACTACATACAATTATTAACGCTGAATGCTATCAGCTTTGTTAGATTCTGAGAAAAGCTCAAACAAGTTAACAATGAAACTTCTATCATATATGAATATCTAAGATATTATATATTCAATAGCTCCCTTATCTGCTTCCCCAAGGCTCTCTGTCCTGTCTGCCTACAGAGCGCTTCTCTGCATTTCTCCTGAAATCACTACTCTTTTTTTTGGAAATATGGACTTAATTAACTGGTCATTCAACGCGATTGATAAGATTTTTTCTACGATGAGAATGGAGAAGGGGGCTCCCACCTGTCCCGAGGGGACATTCGCAGCGGGATATGCACTCGATTCTTGGGAGGTCTGGCGAATCGTGTGCCTCTCTCAGTTGTCCATCGAGGACGTGGAAGATTTGTGGATATTTGGCCTGATGATCACTGGATTTCTTCTGATTGGAGTGGGAGGATATCTGGTTTTCTGGAAATTTGGGAAGACGGGAGCGATTGGAGTGCGACCCGCACCCACGGAATGTGCCGCCCGGGCGGTGACCTCACAGACTGGGACGTTACTCGAGATGAACCGTAAGCTGGATAATGTCCTTGCGGCATTGCCTGTGTTAGTGCACAAGATGGATGTCATCTCGGAGAGGATCACTGGACGGTGTGGGGATGTTTAGAACGCATAAAATTGGCTTCACTGGTGGACATGAATGGCCACTTAATAAACTCCAAGGCAGAGAGGAAAATTATCTCTGTCTGCCCTAAACAAAGTCTTGCTTATCCTTATCTGACGCCAAGCAGCTCCAAGGCTGCCTTCAACTCACCCCCACGAAAGGAGGAATGCTGACAGATGCTGTGTCCCGACCTTCCCCCCCTGCATCCAGATTGTGACCTCGGCTTCGAGGGCATCGACCTGCAGGAACTCAATGCGCTCTCTGTTCCTCATCTCTCCCTCCCACCTGTCGACTGCAGCTGGTGAAGCGCCGTGATGGCAGCTCCCATTGGAGGATTCAGGATCCCCGCCCAACCCCGCCTCCCCATCGGACTCTGATGTTTTGTATCTGTGATGTTCGTGCTTCTATGTTGAGGAGTTTTTTTTTATAATAGAGTTACTCCCCGCTGGGTCTAACTCTGCTATGCCTTTTTTTAACTTACCCCAATTATCCTCATGTAACACCCTTTTCATCTATCGATTAAGGTAGCGCGACTCATGTTGCGAATGACCGCAGTCACCAATTCTTGTCATCTGTCTTGCCCATGTATGTCTGATCTCTGAATTGTGTGTACTGAAACTCAATTTCGTTTCTCTGTATGTCTTGCACATGTGGTAGAAATGACAATAAATGACTTTGACTTGACTTTGATATGCCAACGAGCTTGGTCTATTTTTAATCCAAAGATTAATTCTTAATTTTAAGATAATTAAATTTAATAGCAAAAGTTTATTTATTGAATCAGAAGTTAGGAATCTTTGCTTATTCAATAACCAAAAATGTATACACCATTCTGTGTTTTATTTCAAAGAAGAGTCAGGTTTTTAAAGTTAAGAATTTGTTACTAACACTTTTAAAAATGACAATTTGAAATGACAATTTTTAACAGACAATTTGATATTAAAACTTGTTTTAAAAAGCAAACCTGTGACTGAGTGGAAGCTAAATGAAATGTGAGGTTTTTGGCTGCGTGAATGAATCTCAGAAGGTTTCTTTCAGCGAGAGAAGCGTTCTGGGTGAAAAGTTGGTTTTGCAGCTAGTCGTTTCTTAGAAAGAACAGCATACAGACGCAATCTGTCGAAAGTGTCTACCTCACCCAGATCAGGAGACCCTCTTCTGGATCAGAGATGTCAGGTGGAGATGATGCCCTCCGGGCACGAGGTTGGTAGAAAGAGCTTAGTGCGACCAATCAGTTCTGAGACGTCTCCGTGGGTCACACAACTGATGGAACTATATGAGTCTCAAATCAATAGCTCTGAAGGAGTCTTGCGTCAGGTGGTTACAGTTGCGTTTATTCGAAGCAAGTCTATTGGCCAGGGGCGGATTTAGGACTGAAGAAGATCCAGGGCTTAACACCTATATTTATGTCGATGCTTAACACACGCACGCGCACACACACACGTGACACGCACTAGTCAACATCATATATGTCTTGTACCACATAATTTTTAATCTGAAGCTACATATTAAGCATTTTCAGGGCAGAGTGATGTTCCTGTTAGTGTTTAGTGTGAGATGATAGTAAATATTCCCTTTCTTTCTCCAACCACTTTACCTGATAAGCTAACTTTAGGCAAACCAGCAGCACAACAAATATTTTCAAATAAGACTCACAAACCTGAGTCAACACCAGTCTCATCAAAGCTGGGGTTCTGTCGTTGTACTTTTTGTCTAAAAAACGTCCTTATGTCCATCTTCACTCATGCGTTTCAGGCAGAGAGTGTAGAAGAAGCCGGCTGCTGAAGGGCTTCTTCTTCAGTGGTGGAGGCTCAGGCAGGCTGTATACAAACTACTGCTAGCTGCGCCCTCTCTGTTGGACTTTGGTACTGCATGTTACTTCAGCGATTTAGATCCGGAGCTTTTCATGAAACATCTGGGGCTTCAGCCAAAGTAGCCGGGCCTGACGCCGCCCCTGCTATTGGCGTGACAGAACGCTTAGTAGAGACTTGGGCGACTGTCCCTCGTCTCCTGGTATGGTTCAAGAACTGAACTTACAGCAGCCGGATTTGTTTTTAACAAAACCCTCAGAACACGACCTCTCAGCGTCAGGAAGCTTGATCATGAAGTAAAGACATGTGAGATAGTTTCAACTTTACCCTGGATACCCTCTGCATGTGGTGGTTAAACGTGCAAGATGGCCTTCTGGTTTACTGAACACACATTACAGATTATCATGAATGATTATATTGTTACCCAAAGCATAATAAGTCATTTCAGTAATTAAAATACATTTATACTGAACCAAGAGATTATTTATGATGATTGTAATAAACAGTAATATGTCAAGAGTTTATTAAAATTATTATTTAAAATTATTATTGGAAAATCTTGAAGTGTCCTTCATCTTGGGATGGAACAGCAGCAGATAAAGATGTTGTTTCAGCAGACATCACGGCTCCTGGCGGGGTAATCTGTGGAGCAAAGTTACAGTTCGACCCAGCTTGACTCAGCTGGGAAAATGTGACCTTTGTCACCAATTAGAGGCCATTCATGACGCTACATTTGATATTGGGGTGACAAAGGGAATCAAAAAGCAGCTGGTGCCTCCTATTATTTATGTTATACTGTACACTGTCCTTTTTTTGTCTTTCTTGTTTAGTTTATTTTCTGTGTTATGTAAAATTAAACATATTAAAATGTTGAAAAAGTCTAAATGTTACATTAAAACGGATCCACAACATTTTCTATAGTTTAAAACAAACACAGGAATTAAACAAAATAAAATATTGTTATTTAGAACCAGAATGAACAACGGGGCAGTGAACAGTTTCCTGCTCCTCCTCATGAAACTGGTCAAGTTTCTAATCCAACAATATCTGAAATCAATATTAAAGCTCTAGTTTAAAGTTTAACAAACTATCTGTTGTTACTTTAATGGGCTCGTTTCCACGTCACAGATAGCAACAGCGTAATCAAATATCAGCAAGCACACAAACGCTGGCTGATTTAGTTTGCTGTTTGGTCCTTTCCTGGTGTAGGAATGGCATACGTATTTATTTTGGGTGCTTTTAAAGCTCAATATACTACGCTACATTTGACCAATAAGATATGAATTTCTACATAAATACGGAAATCCAATCTGATTGATTTTTGAATGTCTAATTTCCCTCTGGGATTAATAAAGTATCTTTGATTTGATTTGATTGATTAACCAGAAGATTTGGAATCGTTTGTTTATTCAGGGATTGTAAGACACTTCGTATCAATTCACAGTCAAATTTATAAAAAGTAAGAAATTTATTATTGTAGTGAACCTGGGTAGGCTCTGCCAATTATATAGAGTAATGGTTTATGCTCTTTTATGAAAGAGGAACCATTCTACATATTAATTTGAGATATTAATTTTTAATAAATTAATAACCAAATTTTATAGTTTTAAGAAGACTCAAAGGTTGTTTTCATCGATAAACTGTCGATAATATCCATGGGTCTGTGTTTCAGTTCAATGAAGAGACAAGTTTGAAAGTTAAAAGATTTAATTCTTCAAATTAAACTAATGATTTTGAAATGACAAGCATAGGAAACAACAATCAACATTGGCAACTTCGTTGAGCAATCTTTAACAGTTGATATTGTAAACTTGCTCAAATAGACCTTGTGTTGAATGTGTGAGAATTGAAAATGAGGTGAGATGAATGCGTGTGTGCGTCTGATTTTGCTTCAGGAAGAAACAGGTGTCTGAGTGAAAAGTGATGGT